CTTACTCCATTGGCAGTTATTTTTGCCAAATTTTGTTATTTAACAACATTTGGATAATATTTTCAGAAAACAAGACAAAATATCTTTAGTCATTTTACTTGTCAAGTAAATGCATCCTGATTCAAGAATTTTTAGATATTTATACTAGAAAAAAAGACAAAAATACTAAGAAAATCATTTTTTTGCAGTGTATCTATCAGAGGTGTTTCTATCTATCTATATCTATCCATCCATCCATCTATCTATCCATCCATCTATGAAAAAGTTTTTTTTTTTTTTTCCATTTCAATTAATTTTAATTCTGCTTTAGTTCAATTTAAAAGGCATTTCTTATTCAGTTCTGAATGGCACGCAACCCTGATGTCGAAGCTTGTCTCATCATCAAATGCATCAAATTTACACAATAAAATATAAATCTCTCTGCCAAAGCAGCACCAGCCCCCTCTTACTCATTCCTCCAGTGGTTGTATAGGCATAGACTCCGGGTGTTTTGAACACATTGTATGACAATTATGAGCAGTAAGAGTGCCGCTCGTTCCTCACTGGTGCTGTATAGGGTTTTGGACTGAGCCACAGCAGGGGAATTCACCAGATGGTTTAGGCAGAACCAATCCATTCCCTTTTGGGCCGTTGCAATTCACGAAGCCATCGTATACGGCAAGCCAAGTGCACACAAAATTCGAGGTCTGTGCTAGTATTGGTGATAGACAATTTCAGCAGGCAGTAGGGATATGCCGGTATCAAATTTTCATGTTGCGATTAATGGCTTGTTTAAGTCAGGGTGTGCACGCCTCTTTCACGCAGCATACAGCAATGTTGTGCATTTTGACCAGTTGATGGGAAAAGTATTCTTAAAATTCATTCAAAATTCTGACTAATTTGTAATATATAATTATTCATGGTATTTAGAAGTGCCCACGATAACAATATTGTGCATATTCATTACCGTGATATATCGCATTACCGAATACCGGCACAAGTCTAGCAGGCAGTCATGAAGAGTCACCCACCTGCATGTCTCAGTCCCCAACTGACAGTTTCTGATAACCTTTTGGCTCTTACACATATGAGGAGTAGTTCAACTCAGTGGTTGTGTGAGTGATGGTTTGTTTGTCATGAGTTAAGCTTCTCCGCAGTTCCACTTGATAAGCTGACAGGTGACTCATGTGAACACTATGGATTTACCGCTCAGAGGTCTTTCAAGGAGCAGCAGCACTTTGATCTCCACCGTACATCTGTGACATTACTTTCCTACAGCTCTGCCTGCTGGCCTCATTGACACAGGAGAGCTCTGGCATCCATAACATGAATTTATCTCCGAACGTAATTTTCCGTCTTGTTCAACTGAAGCCCTTTTGATGCAAAGTGACTGATCATGAAAGACCTTTGAGTACAAAAAATTTACCGGACTGGATCCCTAAATGTGAACGAACAGGGCTGTTGTTGAGATCAGGAGCAACAAGAGTGAAAGGAACCAGCATAAAAGCAATTTGATGGCTTTCACCATCATGGTGTACTGCCTGCACTTGCCTTTCCACTCCATGAAGGGCAAGAGCCAAGCATATCAGATGCAAAACATGAAAGAGTTTTAAGTAACCTTGTTGAAATGGGTTACAATGCAGGATACTAAATGCTCTCAGCTGGATCTTCCAAATGACTTGCTCCCAGACCAATTCCAGCTGCCAAGCTTGTGCATTGAAGATGCTGTTGTCTCCAAGGCTCTGGGTTTTCTGCAAGCCTGCATCACCCTCTAGTGGTTGAATTGGATGCCAAATTAGATATTGATTGAAGTGTGTTATCAAGTTATCAAGTAATATAGGCTTATCAGTTCTCATAAGATTAGGAAAAGTCATATTTATAGAATGGCATTACTACAGTGTTGTAATATACAGTACACTACTGTTCAAATATTTGGGGTTGGTTGGTAAGATTTTTTTTATGTTTTTGAAAGAACTCTCTTAAGCCTCATTCAAACTGTCAGCCCAAATCTGTTTATTATGCTCACCGTTTATTATGCTCACCAAGGCTGCATTTATTTGATATAAAGCAAAACAGTAAAATTGAAATACTATTACAATTTAAGAATGGTTTTCTATATTAATGAAAATATTTTAAAATGTAATTTATACCTGTGATGGCAAAGCTGAATTTTCAGCAGCATTACTCTAGTCTTCAGTGTCATGTTTATTTGAAATAGGCATTTTTTGGAACAGTGTAAAAGCCATTACTGACACTTTTGATTTGAAAATTTAATGTGCTCTTGCTGAATAAAAGTATTAATTTCTTTCAAATTGAATGATTACCATATTCATGTTATTTCCATAGTATTTCAAGGTGCTTCAAAGAATACCAAGCTGTTTCCATGCTACATGTCCAAACAATCAAACAAATATGGTATTACCATGGTACTGTGTACAAGTACATGATGTAGCACTATTTCATTTTATTTTCATTAACAAACCCTGAAGATAATATTGCACTTTGCTTTCATGTCATATTGTATGCTTGCTGAGATGTTTACATTCTAGTGAAGCAAAAACTTCTCCTTGACTATGTATTCAGTTTCCATCTCTATGTTATTTGCAGTGAATGCACGGCTCTCTTACTTTGCAGGTAGAGTAAAACATTATGGCTAAGAAGGTAATTTCTTTCAACTGCTCGTTTACAAAGGCTATCTTATTTCTAAAATTTAAAAAAAGTATTCAACAAACAGCCTCTATATAATTCCCAGACTGTTTCACCAAATTTCAGATTCACATAGAAACACTGCCCACCCCCTGGAATTCATGTCAAGATCACAGAGGGCCCTCTTATGCATATATATGCATAATATATATGCATAATGATATAGTGACGAATGTAATGGAGACATGCTGATATCGCGTTTGGTCTGGTTCTGTATCGCGTATCTTGTCAGTGTTTGCGCTTGCTTGGCCATTTGTTGTGGAGAAAATAAGGAAAGTGTGTCCAGCTGAATTAATTTAGTATTTTGTTAGACGGGTATAAAAAAGCTTAGTTTACATCGACTCTACCGTGCGACTCCACCGGGCAGGGACACCGGCAAAGGGTAAGTATCACTTTTTATTTCTACTCTTTCCTTTTACTTGTTTCGCTTCTGTTTCAGTTTTTATAACCATTTCTTACTATGTGTAAGTAAATTGTTGTTTTTTAGCATGTGTGTTTGGCGGTGTTATTTTTTAGGATTACTGATAAACTACTGTCATTTGATTTGTATTATTTGTATTTGTTATTTATTTTAATTTAAGTTAAATGATGTCTGAATTTATTATGTCTTTATAGGTATTTTATTAAGATTTTAGTTTTATTTAATTTGAGTTATTTTAATACTTCAACAAACTAAATGAAAATGAAATAATATATATATATATTAAATTTATAAATGTGTATGTATATATATGTGTGTGTGGTTGTACATACACATATGTAGTTGTTTTTTTGGTGTTTGGCTTAGTGTTATGTTAGAATCATTATTATACTCTTAGTCTTATACCTTTTGTTCTTTAATATTTTGAATTGTTTTTAGCTTTATTTTTTGTTTTTCATTTAAATGTTAAGTTTTGAAATTTTGTTGTATGCATTTGTCATTTTGATTTAATCTCTTTATTTTTAAAATGTGTATAGGTAGTATTTATAAAGTTTTAGCTTTTAGTTTTGGATCTGTTTTTAGTTGTTTTAATACTACAATTGATTGCTTCTGTTGTCCTCATTTGTACGTCGCTTTGGATAAAAGCGTCTAATAAATGACTAAATAAATAAATGACTAAATAAATATATGAATAAAAGTAGGCCTGAGTGTAGAGTGTTTTAAAAGTAGGCCTAAATGTTTTAAATAACGTTGTCTCCAAAACTCTACACTAAAAAGTCTCAAATCTAAATAAAGTAGCAATAGCTATTGTCCCCCAGTTAGTACACTAAGAAAAATATCTAGAAAAATGGAAAAGGTACTAGTAATTTTCCAGGACATTATCCGTTATCCATCATCCGTTGTAACCCGAAACACAAAATACAATGCGTAATTTAAAATGCAGGTAAAAACTGTGAATTATTTTCTTAGAGTGTAGCATACTGACTACTAATACAATGCTTAAAACTATAATTGTTCAGAATGTGTAGTTTTACTAGTTTACTAGCTAATAAAAAAACTTGTAATCGTTCAAAAATGTGTAAGTGTTCAATAATTCAATGTTGTATATAAAAAAAGTTATTTATATTTTAACATTATATTATGCATTTATATTATTTTACGAACAAATCTAAATTAACATAAAAATATATTTGTTTTTAATGTAGTGACACAATTTTGCGGCGTGATGACGTAATGACGTCATCACGCAATTACATCACAATGTCATTTAGCAACTTTTAGCAACAAATCGAACTTCCTTTAGCAACTTCCCCTGAAAATTAGTTGGCAACACTACTCCACACGATGGCACCTGAAGTACTCTAGTCTACAGAATACCTAGATGCACTTTGAAAAGGTGGCTAAAATATTTCAGAAGCTTCGAATTAAGTTTTAAGTAATTATAGACTAATTTTATAAACACGTGTTCAGTGCTATTCGCTTGTTTTCTTTGTAACGTTAGTTCTGCTGTTGTCACAATATATTTTTGCTGTCTTTCTGTAAGAACACTTGTTAATGTTACTGTCACACTTGTTACTGTTGTGTAACACTTGTTACAATGTTACTGTCAATTTGAGTTTTTTTCCAGTAAAAATATTAAAACTGGTAAAGTTACATTAATCGATGATTTACTGTTAAAGTGAATGCAGTGTAATGCCGACTGAATTCCAATTGTAAACCCACTGACATAACCCGACTCTCTTGAAGTCTACTTATTGATATTAATATATATACAAAAATATTTCCATCTCATTACTTCATGTTACTTGAATTCAGGTTCGTTTGCTTTTTGTTTATTTTTGTTACAGTGACGCGAACGTGACAGCGCTTCCTTGACGTCAACACCGATCCTGGGTGAAATAGTAGCGCGCATGCGCAGCGCTGCAGACCTCGACTAAATTGAGGTCTTTGTTGAGACCAATAGACAAATCTTGCTCGAGCTTCTCAGATATCTCAGAGATATTTGGCGAAAAGACAACCGTGTTATATGCAATCGCGACTCTGCGAGCCTGACGTAACTCCGAACACGAACGCGAGGATATTAGCAGAGCTGACAACATCGGATGTACACAAACAAACCCATCGCTAGCGTTTTGAGGTGGTATTTTTAGCGTAGCTCGATTTTATTTATTTACCAATCACGACAAGCGGTTTGCCGACATGGGGAACTGTCATAATTAAAAGGAGTAGATCTCCTCTTCACCTCCAGGATATCATGAAAGAGGAGAGGGGTGTTTGTATGGAAAGGCTGCCCATGGCACGCAGAAGTGGGGTTCAACTTTCCAGCAGCCTCGTCCATACTGAGGAGAAGAGGGAAGCAGAAAGAGGATATTTGTGGGCCAGCTTTATTTCACATAAATAGTCAAGCTGCAATATTTGGGATCAGGTGGGAGATGGAGAGTGTCGGGAAATTCGAGTTCAGCAGGAAGGACCTTATAGGACACGGTGCCTTCGCTGTGGTATTCAAAGGCAGGCATCGAGAGGTGAGAAAATATCATTTAAAAACAAATATTGCATCATTTTCGTCTGCATGTAGAGGTGTGATTGTATATTGATAAGAATTTGGTTTCTGTTTTCATACTGGTTGCAAATCTGACATACCACCTTAAAGGCCTCGAGCACAACAGATGGAGGCTAGAATAAGAGATTAAATGGCCAGTATTATAGAGAGATACGCATTAAACCCATTACATATAATACATTTTCAAGCTTTTAATGTGTCATTTTCGTTTTTAGAGACCGTAAAACAATAGATCTGACCCATAGACATGCACGGGCATGTCTATGGTCAAATATGTTTAATACAATGTAGACTGCAAGGTGATTATGGTTAACAGCTAAAATCATTGAACTTTTCAGAAGCATGATTGGGAAGTTGCCGTCAAATGCATAAACAAGAAGAATCTGGCCAAATCTCAGACTCTTCTGGGGAAAGAGATCAAGATATTGAAGGTACGTTCTGGTTGTATTGGCTGGCAATACACTGCATTTCCATTACATGATAATAAAGCATTTGTGTGCAAATGAATTCTTATTTGTTTTCTTTAGGAACTGAAACATGAGAACATTGTTGCATTGCATGACTTCCAGGTAGGTTGCATTACTCTGCAGTTGTTTGGATGGACAGTTTTTAATGCAATCGTCTAGAGAAAGTGGTTTTGTTACAACTTTACTTTTACAAATACTATTAAGTACAGATATTTTACTTGTTATAATGAGCTAAAGAGGGTTCAAATGTATGTTTTACCACCCCCAAGGCTGTATCATGACTTCCTTTGCTTTGATTGGTTAAAAACAGTCACATGTTCTTCTATTGACATGACATGTGCACTTGTTTTTAATGGCTCTGTTGCAGGGCATTGTGGGTATTGGAGTCTTGGTTGCACATTTACATCTTATTATATAGACCTAAAGATGACAATGTTTCTATTGTGTAATGCTGAGAACGCAAAAAAATATGCAGTAAAAGATGCTCACACTTTTTTTAAATACCAGAAAGAGAAATTATTTACTCACTCGATTCAGCATTCAGGGTTCATTGGCACTTAGTAAAAGCCTTTCTTACAACGGTGCAAGTGAAACCTGTGTAGCCAGACTGGTGAAGTGGTTTCATTGAAGTGTTAACACGTTTTTCAAACACCTGGGTTCTCTGTATTTGCTCTGCCCTGGGGTCATCTTGAGGTTAATGTTTTAGGCGTGTTTTATTGGTGTAAGTTAAAGCCAGTGGGAGTACAGAAGACATGCAACTTGGACTTCTAACCAGTTGTAAATTATTTGATTTGTCTCCTATAATTCAATGTTTGTTACTCACTTCTGGAATTATAACCATAATAATTTGATGGACTATAGTTATTCCCCATGTTATTAAAAATAGGATAAAAAAGATGAATAAATAATTTATAAAATTATTAGTCAATACATTTTTAAATCATTAAAATAAAATAAAAATAATAAAATGTAATTATTATTAATAAGCTGAAGTTTTTATTAAAAAACAAAAAAAAATTGCCTATATTTTTGTTTAATTGTTTTCATTTTTAAAGGGTTAGTATGAAATGAAATGAAAATACTGTCAAATCATTTACTCCTCATTTTGTTCAAAACCCATAATCTTCAAAATGCAAATTAACGTGTTTTTTTTTTTTTTTTATAAAATTAGTTTTATGGGTTTGAAACGACATGAGTAGAATTAAAATTTTTGGGTGAACTATCCATTTAAATGTTGTTGTCCAGATATCAGCATCAGTCATTGAAAATCCCTGTCGATCAAAACTACTGTGCTGTCATGTGACGTGTTAAATACCATTTTATCTTGATATATACCATGTTACTGAAAGATTACCATATACATGCAGTTTACGTAGTACCGTTGTACTTTTTTTAGTCATCATTTACAGTTTATACTGAGGTTTGATGTTGCTTTTGTCTCCACTTCATTCATGACAATTTGGTGAAAGAAGGCTCACACTCTGGTGTTGCTTTCAAAAGGTGCAGCTCAAGTGTCTCGGCACATTTCCACCACATGCTTCTCCGATCTGACCTCTTCTCACATCTCCTGGATAGTCACACCACTTTCTACTGTGGTGTTGGCTATCTGTGAATTTAATGCCATTAAAGTTAGAGTAGTTCTTGCACTACCCTGGAGGGAAGAGTCTGTGAGCTGCTTGGCTCCTTGCAACATGTGACAAACTTGTGCTTGTTTGTGTAGGATGAACCTTGCAAGAGTTAATCTGGTCATCTTTTCCTTGCAAACACAGAAACAAGATTTTGAGCAGAGCTTATTTTTAGTGAATCAGGTTCATAACCGCTTTTAAAAATAAAAGTAATGGTTCCATGAAAAAACTTTAACATCCATGGAAACTTCCCATTGAAAAAAGGTTCTTAAGATTTAAAAAATGTTCTTCACACTAAGAACAAAAAAACTGGTTCTTTTAAGAACCGTTCACTCAAAGGTTCTTTAGGGAACCAAAAATGGTTCTTCAATGGCATCGCTGTAAAAATCCCCTTGTGGAACATTTATTTTTAAAAATGTACATATAACTGTGTAAAAATAGGTTCTCCGCAGGTTCAGTAACAGTTTAGGTCAACTATATAAAATTTAAAATATAAGGGTTGTGTTTGAAGTGGGATGAGCAATAAAGTAATCGTGTAAAAATAACAAAAAGTCCTCTCCAGAACCAGTTTAGTAGGGTCTCCACTGCGCCTGTGGTAAACATTAGCAGATCTCATGGGTCTGCTGTGTTCATAAGCAAAGCTTACTTTATCACCCTCATGAACATCAATTATGTAGGCACCAAACTGTCTGTGAGTGATGTTGGGCCTGTTGGATTTTCCCAACTGAATGGCCAAGCTCGTTCAAGCTCTAGTTGTCATTAAACAGCGATGTTTGACTTAGTTTCAGTCTGGCTGCCGCTGCACAGTTGGCTAGAGTCTATCTTCAGTGGCAGAAAGTAAAACTTCGGCAATGCTGAGTCAGCAGCATATGCCAGTCACGGATCAGCCGATTCGGCTGATTGGTTGAGGTGGACACTGCAAGGGGGGAGGTCATCTGTTGCTAAGTGATAAGGTCGTTCTAAGTGGGCTACTCTGTATTTTTTCGAGAGGCCTCGGCCATGGGCTCGGGAAATAGCAGGATTATGGTGCCATAAAAACTGACTTGATAGCAAACGCAACCTTTGCTGTAGGATTGATATAGTGATTGTTTGGATAGTTGAATATTTAGTGCTTTGGCCACTTCGGAGAAGCCTGTCATGCATTTTTTTTGTTTATTCAGTCAGTTCATATGTACTGAAGACAGTTCTGTTCTAATAGCTAGTGTGTGTTTATAAGGTATACGTTAATTATTTCCCTAAAGCCTATAGACTAACATTGCTGCTTTGTAGTTGTCTGTTTAAGGATCAACAAGTTCAAAAGCATTTTTATTGGTTGATTTGTATTGGCATGATACTTAAAGGGATAGTTCACCCAAAAATGAAAATTGTTATTTATTCGCTCCAAGTCTGTATGGCTCTCTTTCTTCTGTGGAAAAAAAAAATATTTTGAAAAATGTCTCAGTGATTTTTGTCTCAATCAAAGACAATAGTCACCTGAAATGTGTTATGCAGAAGAAAGATTTTTATATTTAAGAATTTTTTTAATATTATTATGTTCTTTTATATACATTGTTGCATTGTTATTATATGATTATTGATTTTAAGAAGTTATTGAAGTTATTGGTATTTGTTGATATTATATAAATGAATGTAAATGAGCACATATGTAACCCTGGACCACAAAACCAGTCATAAGGGCCAGTTTTATGAAAGCTGTTAATCAGAAAGCTGAATAAATAAGCTTTCTGTTGATGTATGGTTTGTTAGGATAGGATAGGATAGGATAGGATAGGATAGGATAGCATATTTGACTGAGATACAACTATTTGAAAATCTGGAATCTGAGAGTGCAAAAAAACCGAAATATTGAGAAAATCGGCTTTTAAAGTTGTCCAAATGAAGTCCTTAGCAATGCATATTACTAATCAAAAATTAAGTTTTGATATATTTACGGTAGGAAATTTACAAAATATCTTCATGGAACATGATCTTTACTTAATATTCTAATGATTTTTGGCATAAAAGAAAAATCGATCATTTTGACCCATACAATGTATTTTTGGCTATTGCTACAAATATAGAATTAATTAAATATATAAATAAAATTGTGTGTGCTTATTTTTTTTTTACATTCAGATCAGTCAATATCACTCAGTCTAGGTAATCTGATCTTTCGAATGATTTCATAACACATACATGAAATCTTAAAGAGAGCAAATCTCAAAATGAATATAAAATTTACATACTGTACATTATAACATTGTGATGACTAAATTTGAGGGAATTACATTAATTTGTTAAAACTATTATATTACTAAAAGTTTACTACTGTAAACTATTTGTTTTTTATTATCTTATTAAAAAAAACTTCAATCTGTAATTTTGCTAGAGTTCGCCATTATATGACAATAAAATGTTTGATTTTGATTGCTTCCATTGTCCTCATTTGTAAGTTGCTTTGGATAAAAGCGGCTGCTAAATGTAAACGTAAAATAAGCCAAAATGTTTGTATTGGTTAACCTCTACTCAGCTCAATGTAAAATTTTGGCAGGTAATTTGTGATAACCACACAGCATGCACTAAATTCACTCAAACCAGAGCAACTGCAAAGTAACGCCCTGGAAATCACCCACAACACCCAAGCATCGTGATTAGCACCACTCACATTTCACATTATCAGCAGTATCTATACTCTCTTGTGTCTGAGTGAGGTTCAGTGGTGTGCGCTGTGGCTGCCTTGAATAGAAATCTGTCGCACCACCACACAGTTCGCACATTGAACTTTGAAAACGTACAGTGCTAACAAAGCCTGTGACCTTTGCCCTCCCCCTGGCCTTTATTAGCCCATTATGACCCAGTGCAGAGAAAACACACTCACGCCATATGTGGACTAGTGTCAGCCAAATGCATTTACAATGCACACAAATAAGCTGTTAACACTGGTTCCAATGTCCTCTGTAAACATGTTCCCACACAAGTCTCGATATGATATGTTATACACAGATCCTTTGAATATATATTAAAGAACATGAATTCATTTACTGTCCTGGCCACCTGTCTGTTGAATCTAATTACTCCTGTGGGTTTTTTTTCTTTCTAGGAAACGGCAAGCTCTGTGTATCTAGTGATGGAGGTAAGTGGGCTTGTTTTCCCAGTGTCTTTTGTTGTTGATCTTGTCTGTCCTGTACCTGGTAATGCCTGCAATTAGCCATGCCCTGGGGCCAATGGAAGACAGCTGCAGTTGTTAATAACAACACCCTTAGACAGAAACAGACTTGAAATCAGGTTGTTTTGTGTGAGACGGTGAGGATTTGTAAAAATTTTTCCAATTGCTATGAGACCAACTTCCTGTAGATGCCTCGCCACCAAGTCAGTTCTCAGAAAAGCTCAATGGAAAGGCAATGGGGCCACTGGGAAGCCCATCAGTGGTGCACAAAGGAAAATAACGGCCCATCTTTTCTGAGTGACATTTTAATATGCATCTGAATTGTCTCTCTCTGTGAAGTGAACTAAGCCCCATTCAGATACAGGTTTTGTCATTCAGCATTGTGTGGTGCTCTTATTCATAATAAAAAGATCAATGTTCTTTCTTTAACTGCAGTACTGCAATGGGGGAGATCTGGCTGACTACTTGCACTGTAAGTGGGACATTTCATTTATCATGCTCTGACCTTATTTTTTTTGTTCTGTAGATGCTCTACACACCAGCCTCCTTTATTAAATTATGTGTTCACTCTTAATAATACATCATTTGAATTTGATTGGAGTAAATTCTGCTTTGATAAAGTAGGGATGTTCATCTTAGCTTTAATTGCTACAGTTTTTTGCTTATTTTGCTTGCGTGATGAAAAAAGTGATATCAGTTTAGTTCAAAAGCATGCAAAACCAAACTCAGGAAGTTAGGCCAGAAGGGTTTAGGGTTTGTGTTTGTGTATGTATGTTTTGTTTAAAGCGGGTCTGAGGAAGCTGTAACTGTTGACTGTAGGGTGTGAGCTTGTTTCAGAGGAAGCAGTTGCTCTGAAAAATCCAGACACAACAATTTTCTTTCTTATGGAATCTTGACATGAGAAAAAAAAGGCAAATCTCTACAGCATATTGCTTTGCTTTTATATGCAATGTGTAGTATTTGAATTTACAGACAGTTGATATACATTGCACTATGAAAGGATTGCAGGTTGAATTTGCATTTGATTTGCCCGTAAAATCTGTAACTGGTTACAAGTTGTTACATAAACTGTATATACTGTATAATATAAATAGTGTTGAGTCAAGGCCAGATGATATAATAGAAAACATTATCTCAATATTTTTTTTGTTTTTGATGGTATGCTGTTTAGGAATTTGATCTGAAATGACTTAAATGGTGATGCATTTTTTTGAATGAGAAGACATAAATTCATTAACAATCTAGTTAAATGTCAAGATGCACTACCATTGAAAAGTTTGGGGTCAGTTAGGCTAGATGTATTTGAAAAGAAATTAATACTTTTATTCAACAAGGCTGCATCAAATTAAATTAATCAAAAGTGACAGTAAAGACATTTTAAAATGTTACAAAAATGTCTTTATTTCAAACAAATTATTTTCTTTTGAAGTTTCTGTTCATACCATGAATAGAGAAAAATGTATCAGTTTCCCCCAAAATATTAAGCAGCACAACTGTGTTCAGCATTTGATAATAATAAGAAATGTTTCTTAAGCATTAAATCAGCATAATGATTTCTGAAGGATCACATGACACTGAAGACCGGAGTATTTGATGCTGAAGATTTAGCTTAGCTAGTACAGAAATAAATTACTTTTTAAAATATATTCAATAGAAAAGTTATTTTAAATTGTAATATTTCACTGTAATTTTACTGTATTTTTAAGCATAAGAAACTTAAGCATAAAAAAAAAAAAATAAAATCAAACATTTAAACGTTAGTGTTTATTTCCTTGCACTACCCTGGAGGGAAGAGTCTGTGAGCTGCTTGGCTCCTTGCAACATGTGACAAACTTGTGCTTGTTTGTGTAGGATGAACCTTGCAAGAGTTAATCTGGTCATCTTTTCCTTGCAAACACAGAAACAAGATTTTGAGCAGAGCTTATTTTTAGTGAATCAGGTTCATAACCGCTTTTAAAAATAAAAGTAATGGTTCCATGAAAAAACTTTAACATCCATGGAAACTTCCCATTGAAAAAAGGTTCTTAAGATTTAAAAAATGTTCTTCACACTAAGAACAAAAAAACTGGTTCTTTTAAGAACCGTTCACTCAAAGGTTCTTTAGGGAACCAAAAATGGTTCTTCAATGGCATCGCTGTAAAAATCCCCTTGTGGAACATTTATTTTTAAAAATGTACATATAACTGTGTAAAAATAGGTTCTCCGCAGGTTCAGTAACAGTTTAGGTCAACTATATAAAATTTAAAATATAAGGGTTGTGTTTGAAGTGGGATGAGCAATAAAGTAATCGTGTAAAAATAACAAAAAGTCCTCTCCAGAACCAGTTTAGTAGGGTCTCCACTGCGCCTGTGGTAAACATTAGCAGATCTCATGGGTCTGCTGTGTTCATAAGCAAAGCTTACTTTATCACCCTCATGAACATCAATTATGTAGGCACCAAACTGTCTGTGAGTGATGTTGGGCCTGTTGGATTTTCCCAACTGAATGGCCAAGCTCGTTCAAGCTCTAGTTGTCATTAAACAGCGATGTTTGACTTAGTTTCAGTCTGGCTGCCGCTGCACAGTTGGCTAGAGTCTATCTTCAGTGGCAGAAAGTAAAACTTCGGCAATGCTGAGTCAGCAGCATATGCCAGTCACGGATCAGCCGATTCGGCTGATTGGTTGAGGTGGACACTGCAAGGGGGGAGGTCATCTGTTGCTAAGTGATAAGGTCGTTCTAAGTGGGCTACTCTGTATTTTTTCGAGAGGCCTCGGCCATGGGCTCGGGAAATAGCAGGATTATGGTGCCATAAAAACTGACTTGATAGCAAACGCAACCTTTGCTGTAGGATTGATATAGTGATTGTTTGGATAGTTGAATATTTAGTGCTTTGGCCACTTCGGAGAAGCCTGTCATGCATTTTTTTTGTTTATTCAGTCAGTTCATATGTACTGAAGACAGTTCTGTTCTAATAGCTAGTGTGTGTTTATAAGGTATACGTTAATTATTTCCCTAAAGCCTATAGACTAACATTGCTGCTTTGTAGTTGTCTGTTTAAGGATCAACAAGTTCAAAAGCATTTTTATTGGTTGATTTGTATTGGCATGATACTTAAAGGGATAGTTCACCCAAAAATGAAAATTGTTATTTATTCGCTCCAAGTCTGTATGGCTCTCTTTCTTCTGTGGAAAAAAAAAATATTTTGAAAAATGTCTCAGTGATTTTTGTCTCAATCAAAGACAATAGTCACCTGAAATGTGTTATGCAGAAGAAAGATTTTTATATTTAAGAATTTTTTTAATATTATTATGTTCTTTTATATACATTGTTGCATTGTTATTATATGATTATTGATTTTAAGAAGTTATTGAAGTTATTGGTATTTGTTGATATTATATAAATGAATGTAAATGAGCACATATGTAACCCTGGACCACAAAACCAGTCATAAGGGCCAGTTTTATGAAAGCTGTTAATCAGAAAGCTGAATAAATAAGCTTTCTGTTGATGTATGGTTTGTTAGGATAGGATAGGATAGGATAGGATAGGATAGGATAGCATATTTGACTGAGATACAACTATTTGAAAATCTGGAATCTGAGAGTGCAAAAAAACCGAAATATTGAGAAAATCGGCTTTTAAAGTTGTCCAAATGAAGTCCTTAGCAATGCATATTACTAATCAAAAATTAAGTTTTGATATATTTACGGTAGGAAATTTACAAAATATCTTCATGGAACATGATCTTTACTTAATATTCTAATGATTTTTGGCATAAAAGAAAAATCGATCATTTTGACCCATACAATGTATTTTTGGCTATTGCTACAAATATAGAATTAATTAAATATATAAATAAAATTGTGTGTGCTTATTTTTTTTTTACATTCAGATCAGTCAATATCACTCAGTCTAGGTAATCTGATCTTTCGAATGATTTCATAACACATACATGAAATCTTAAAGAGAGCAAATCTCAAAATGAATATAAAATTTACATACTGTACATTATAACATTGTGATGACTAAATTTGAGGGAATTACATTAATTTGTTAAAACTATTATATTACTAAAAGTTTACTACTGTAAACTATTTGTTTTTTATTATCTTATTAAAAAAAACTTCAATCTGTAATTTTGCTAGAGTTCGCCATTATATGACAATAAAATGTTTGATTTTGATTGCTTCCATTGTCCTCATTTGTAAGTTGCTTTGGATAAAAGCGGCTGCTAAATGTAAACGTAAAATAAGCCAAAATGTTTGTATTGGTTAACCTCTACTCAGCTCAATGTAAAATTTTGGCAGGTAATTTGTGATAACCACACAGCATGCACTAAATTCACTCAAACCAGAGCAACTGCAAAGTAACGCCCTGGAAATCACCCACAACACCCAAGCATCGTGATTAGCACCACTCACATTTCACATTATCAGCAGTATCTATACTCTCTTGTGTCTGAGTGAGGTTCAGTGGTGTGCGCTGTGGCTGCCTTGAATAGAAATCTGTCGCACCACCACACAGTTCGCACATTGAACTTTGAAAACGTACAGTGCTAACAAAGCCTGTGACCTTTGCCCTCCCCCTGGCCTTTATTAGCCCATTATGACCCAGTGCAGAGAAAACACACTCACGCCATATGTGGACTAGTGTCAGCCAAATGCATTTACAATGCACACAAATAAGCTGTTAACACTGGTTCCAATGTCCTCTGTAAACATGTTCCCACACAAGTCTCGATATGATATGTTATACACAGATCCTTTGAATATATATTAAAGAACATGAATTCATTTACTGTCCTGGCCACCTGTCTGTTGAATCTAATTACTCCTGTGGGTTTTTTTTCTTTCTAGGAAACGGCAAGCTCTGTGTATCTAGTGATGGAGGTAAGTGGGCTTGTTTTCCCAGTGTCTTTTGTTGTTGATCTTGTCTGTCCTGTACCTGGTAATGCCTGCAATTAGCCATGCCCTGGGGCCAATGGAAGACAGCTGCAGTTGTTAATAACAACACCCTTAGACAGAAACAGACTTGAAATCAGGTTGTTTTGTGTGAGACGGTGAGGATTTGTAAAAATTTTTCCAATTGCTATGAGACCAACTTCCTGTAGATGCCTCGCCACCAAGTCAGTTCTCAGAAAAGCTCAATGGAAAGGCAATGGGGCCACTGGGAAGCCCATCAGTGGTGCACAAAGGAAAATAACGGCCCATCTTTTCTGAGTGACATTTTAATATGCATCTGAATTGTCTCTCTCTGTGAAGTGAACTAAGCCCCATTCAGATACAGGTTTTGTCATTCAGCATTGTGTGGTGCTCTTATTCATAATAAAAAGATCAATGTTCTTTCTTTAACTGCAGTACTGCAATGGGGGAGATCTGGCTGACTACTTGCACTGTAAGTGGGACATTTCATTTATCATGCTCTGACCTTATTTTTTTTGTTCTGTAGATGCTCTACACACCAGCCTCCTTTATTAAATTATGTGTTCACTCTTAATAATACATCATTTGAATTTGATTGGAGTAAATTCTGCTTTGATAAAGTAGGGATGTTCATCTTAGCTTTAATTGCTACAGTTTTTTGCTTATTTTGCTTGCGTGATGAAAAAAGTGATATCAGTTTAGTTCAAAAGCATGCAAAACCAAACTCAGGAAGTTAGGCCAGAAGGGTTTAGGGTTTGTGTTTGTGTATGTATGTTTTGTTTAAAGCGGGTCTGAGGAAGCTGTAACTGTTGACTGTAGGGTGTGAGCTTGTTTCAGAGGAAGCAGTTGCTCTGAAAAATCCAGACACAACAATTTTCTTTCTTATGGAATCTTGACATGAGAAAAAAAAGGCAAATCTCTACAGCATATTGCTTTGCTTTTATATGCAATGTGTAGTATTTGAATTTACAGACAGTTGATATACATTGCACTATGAAAGGATTGCAGGTTGAATTTGCATTTGATTTGCCCGTAAAATCTGTAACTGGTTACAAGTTGTTACATAAACTGTATATACTGTATAATATAAATAGTGTTGAGTCAAGGCCAGATGATATAATAGAAAACATTATCTCAATATTTTTTTTGTTTTTGATGGTATGCTGTTTAGGAATTTGATCTGAAATGACTTAAATGGTGATGCATTTTTTTGAATGAGAAGACATAAATTCATTAACAATCTAGTTAAATGTCAAGATGCACTACCATTGAAAAGTTTGGGGTCAGTTAGGCTAGATGTATTTGAAAAGAAATTAATACTTTTATTCAACAAGGCTGCATCAAATTAAATTAATCAAAAGTGACAGTAAAGACATTTTAAAATGTTACAAAAATGTCTTTATTTCAAACAAATTATTTTCTTTTGAAGTTTCTGTTCATACCATGAATAGAGAAAAATGTATCAGTTTCCCCCAAAATATTAAGCAGCACAACTGTGTTCAGCATTTGATAATAATAAGAAATGTTTCTTAAGCATTAAATCAGCATAATGATTTCTGAAGGATCACATGACACTGAAGACCGGAGTATTTGATGCTGAAGATTTAGCTTAGCTAGTACAGAAATAAATTACTTTTTAAAATATATTCAATAGAAAAGTTATTTTAAATTGTAATATTTCACTGTAATTTTACTGTATTTTTAAGCATAAGAAACTTAAGCATAAAAAAAAAAAAAAATCAAATCAAACATTTGAACGGTAGTGTTTATTTCCCACGCATTTAACTGTTTTAATTTATGTTAATAGTAATAATGCTGCTTTGTTTTATATCTCCAGCAAAATCTTATTAATATATCTTAAACAGTCAGTAGCTGTATATTGCCCAGCCCCAATTAATTCATCTTTACAATCATGCTCTTTTAGCTAAGGGCACTTTAAGTGAAGACACCATCCGAGTATTCCTGCAGCAGATCGCGGGGGCCATGAGGGTCCTTCAGGCCAAAGGCATCATCCACAGAGACCTGAAACCCCAGAACATCCTGTTGTCCCATCCTGCAGGCCGAAAGTCCCACTCCAACAACACCTGCATCAAGATAGGTGTGTGTGCCAGTGCCAGTGTTTTTGCTTCTAGTTTATCGTTTTTACATTCTCAGCTTTCAAAGCATTAGAAACTCTAGATACCATGTCCATATGCTTAAGCAGGTCTGGCTTTTGCAAATCAAGCCTTCTTTTTAATATTTACTTGTGTTCTGCTTAATGATTTCACTTTAAATGGCCTCTAAGTCTGCCTCAGATAGATTGACAAACTACAAATTAAATGGCTTTAGGCCAGTGATAACATTGTTCAATGATATGAAAATATAAATAAAACAGTATATTGACTTAAAAAGCCACTCTTTGTAAACTAAGTCTATTTAATAATTTAACACTGTTCTCTTTTATCTAAACCTGGTTTGCCATTGCCCAGAGTGCACTGCTTCACCAGCACAGTTTGTAAGATCTTATTTTGGTCTCCTCAGCTGACTTTGGCTTCGCACGGTACCTCCAGAACAACATGATGGCTGCCACACTCTGCGGGTCCCCCATGTACATGGTACAAATTTTTACATTTCCTTTTTAAGCCTTTCATATACATGTGCATCATTGTGATTATTCTCATTATATCTCATTTATTATAACTCTGAAATGCTAATCACCAGGCACCTGAGGTTATTATGTCACAGAACTATGATGCCAAGGCTGACCTGTGGAGTATAGGGACCATTGTGTTTCAGTGCCTGACTGGGAAAGCTCCATTTCAGGTACGTACCATTCTAATTATAGTTAATTATATAGATGTCACTTTCAAGTCTGAGATATTATGGCATTAGGAAAATACAAATTTAATAAGAAAGCAATAATATAAAAAGTACTTTTTTTGCAATGTTGTCCATCCATCAGGCCAGCAGTCCCCAGGACCTCCGATTGTTTTATGAGAAAAATAAAACTCTTAGCCCAAAGTATGTCCATTTCTTACTGACTCTGATAGTTAATGACACTTTTCAGATTAGTTTTGGCGTACAGGTTCTACTAAAGCATGTGTAAAAAATCCCTCTCTTTCCCCTTCTCTCTCTACAGCATTCCCAGAGAAACTTCCAGCCATCTTAGACACCTGCTGCTTGGCCTCCTGCAGAGGAACCATAAGGACCGTATGGACTTTGGTCAGTATCCTGAGTGTCTTTGCCCACTAGATGATGAGGCAATGTTTGTTATTTATAAGTTTAGTTTTGGCAATCATGCAATCTTCTTAAGCTGAAATATTTGTGTTTTTATAGATGAATTCTTCAGACACCCTTTCTTGGAGGCAAGCTCCTCTATGAAGAAATGTGAGTTATTGCACTGCCATTTTAAACAGTTTTTACTCTGTTTTTACCATTTTAAATTGTCAGTAATGCTTAATCTTTAGAAAATGTTTATTGTTATATTAAATATTATTTAGGCTGTTTTAATTTTTTTATCGAGTTTGCATCCTTGCTACTAAAATTTGGTTTAATACCATGATTCTTTTCTATTAATATTAAATAATCATTTAAATTCATCTTTTTATATACTTTGTAAATGAAGAAATATAATCAATATATATTTAAAAATGTATAACTATTACAGCATAATTAATTAGAATAATTGCAACACCAGAATGTTAATATGGTAAATTCAATAGGGTGTAACAAAATTGGGACTAAATGTTGGCTTGTAGTTATCCATAAACACATTTCACATTAAATAAACAAAAATATTGTTGAATTATTTTTTATTACAGTATGTTATAACATGGTTATAATGTGAGAAAACAAAATGTTCACAATTTGTGAAAAAATTGAGAAAATAAAATGAGATCACTTGCTTGTCTTCCCACCATGCTGTAAAAAGGGTCCAAATGGTGTTTTGGGTGTTTATTTATTTATTGGGTTACAAAATGCAGGATACAGCTAAATGTTATTTAACTCATTATTTTAGTTTTTACTCCAGTGATTTGAATATAAACTAATTAGATGGCAAAAATATGACTTTATATGATTGTCATTGTATTTCTGGAAATGTGTGTCTGTGTTCTTCACAGCTGCTCCAGTGACCGTGACTTGCTTTCCCAATTCAGCCTCTGCAAGCTCATGCAGCAGTTCGTCTACTTCACACCTGGCCTCGCCTCCTGTAAGTATGTGTGTTCATGTCCGTGTTCAATGGTGGTTCATTGTGTCAGCTGCACTAATAAATGTTGGAGTGTCAAAAGTTTGTCACAGACATGAAGATAAATAAGCACAGCATCCAGCTGCCTTCTCGAACAAAGATGCACTTTCTTAACATTTTATGGTGGCTTGTAACACTAATCCGTGATAGGAGCCACATGTTAATCAGCTCTGCATTTTGTGGTATTTTATGGGTCTCATGGTATCAGAATGCTGTATAGAGGTCAGGGCTTTAAAAGCAAAGAAATCATACTGTCACATTCTGTTATTTGAGGTCTATAAATGGTCATAAATATCAATTTTCTTTTTATTAAAGAGACCATAAAAATTTACATTTTATATTCTTATTTTTTAACACTGCTGTTCAAACGGTTTGGGTCATGGAAGATTTTTTTAATGTTGTTTTTAAAAAATCTCTTAGGCTCACATAGGCTGCTTGGGTGAAGTCGTGGCCTAATGGTCAGAGAGTCGGACTCATAACCCAAAGATTGTGGGTTCGAGTCTCGTACCGGCAGGGATTGTAGGTGGGGGGAGTGAATGTACAGCGCTCTCTCCCACCTTCAATACCACGACTGAGGTGCCCTTGAGCAAGGCACCAAACCGCCAACTGCTCCCCGGGCGCCGCAGCATAAATGGCTGCCCACTGCTCCGGGTGTGTGTTCACAGTGTGTGTGTGCACTTTGGATGGGTAAATGCAGAGCACTAATTCCGAGTATGGGTCACCATACTTGGCCACATGTCACGTCACTTTTCACTCACTTTGCTTTGGTAACACTTTAGTATAGGGACCAATTCTTTTAACTAGTTGCTTATTAGCATGCCTATTAATTAACATATTGATACATTAATGACATATCTGCATGAGCATATTCTACATCCCTAATCCTACCCAATATGTAAAAATAACAACTACCTTACTAACTAATAATAAGCAGCAAATTAGTAGTTTATTGAGGCAAAAGTCGTAGTTAATGGTTTGTTAAAAGCAACAATTGGACCTTAAAATAAATTGTGAAAACATTTATTTAATATTTTAAATAATATTTTTGTGGAAACCATTATACATTTTTCAGGATTTTTTGATGAATAGAACATTCAAAAGAACAGAATATTATTATTATTATTATTTTTTATTATTTTTTTGTTTTTTTTACAATTTAATATGAATTGCTTTAAAAAAAAAATTGTAGAATTTCCCTGAAGAAGAATACATACACTACTATCGCTGAAGAACAATAAATGATATTTAAGTATATTCCATCAAGTGTAGTGTAATATTTATATTTTTGTAAATATTTGCTGTGTCAAATGTATTTGTCAGGACAGTAAAAAAAGCTATTTTTATGATCTTTCATTCAGAAATGATACCTAGTTTTAGCAGGACTGGATGTTAATGATTCAGGACTGTGTAACTCTCAGAACTCATCCTCTTTTATGTTTTGTAGCAATCCCTTGCAGAGATCCAGCAGGTCCGTGCCAAGGCGTTAGCCTCCCCTACCCAGGATTCTCCAGGATGCCTGCTGAAGGACTCGGGAGGTGGTGGCGGCGGCAGCAGTAGCAAGAACTCGTCCTGTGACACTGATGATTTTGTCATGGTTCCAGCTCATTTCCCCAGTAAGCCTGCGAGAACTTTGTCCTGCCAGCTATTATATTTCCTTTCCTTCTCCTCATTTAAAAAACTTTGTTACTGTCCTGTTAAAGTGGGATTTCTGGGTATTTATCATCTTTTTCCCCTCTGTCTTTTTAGGTGAGCTTACCTGTGACATGCCGACAGGAAAGGTTTTCCAGGACAGTCTGATGTATAGTGGGTAAGAGCTCACTTTAACACAGGGTGTCCACGGGGTCTTAAAAAGTATTAAAAGTTGATAAATCAATTTAGAGAAAATTAAGGCCCTTAAAAAGTATTAAAAAGTCTTAAATGCCATTTTCCAAGGTATTACATTTTGTATAATCTTTTCATTATGTATATTTGTCGAATAGTGGGGTTCTGTGTATTTTATTTATGGAATCCCGCAAGATTTGACGTCATCTGTTATGGCGCTCACCCCATATGTGAGGGGTATCGGCGATACCCCACATATTGATAGCGGCGCCCTGATGCGCAACATTTTTTTAAAACAATTAAATCCCATTTGAATGAGCGCTCGCAGTCGTAGTTCACTTTGACTTTCGATTTCACGATTAAGGGAGCACATCCTACTTAAGGGAGCACATCCTACGATAAAAGATATTTGTCAATGAGCTCGGGATCTGTTGAGGAGCAAATCCTCCAACATCTTTGTCAGTTATCTCTCCTTACTTTTGACCCGTGATCAGTCAAATCTGACTTCTGCAGCTCATGTTGGATGCAGGGTTGTTGTTGGTTTTTTTTCCCACGAAATTGGGCTGCTTTTAAACTGTTGCCATGGGTTGATTTTCCCCAGTGGGTTAAAGGTTTGAAATATTGCATAAATTACATTTGAATGCTTGTATTGAAATATTTTGCATTCATAAATCTTTCATGGACTTTTACATTAACTGTTCCCTCCTGGTGGAATGACCTGCCCAACTCAATCAAAGCAGTCATTTAATCATTTTCAAGAAACAGCTGAAAACACATCTCTTTCATCTGTAACCAGCACTCTCTATTCTAATGCTAATTCTAATTTTATCTGCTTTTTTATTTGAAAAACATGACCCTCTAACATTTGCACTCTATTCTATTTCTATTTTAACTATTTGTTTAATTTAAAATGAAAAAAGAGTATTTAACACTAGCATTCTCTATTCTTTGTCTATTTGTTCTACTTATTTTCTTTGTATTTATTATAATGACCTTCAAACACTAGAATTATCTATTCTTTTTCTGTTCTATTGACTTGTTTTATTTTCACTATGTATATTTCAATAGACGTAAATCTATTGACATTTTCGTCAACGAATAAAAACGAGACAAAAATGTTAGGGAGGGACGATTTGGGAAGAGATTCATTCAGAATGAATCTGTTGCGTGGTTCGGAGGTTAGATGCGTATATGAACCGGCGGGACATAAGCTAACATACACTTGCTGCACTGCGCATAAAACGTTAAAAAATGTCAATATGTCTGACGACGCAAGAGTGAACTCAAAGTAGGAAGCATTTGAGCTGTGTTTATGATAAATCTGCATAACAGTGACTGTAAACTATGTATTTTACGGATGGAAGTTAAATTTTTATATTTGGCACATGGTAATTGCGCTACTTTGGGCTGTTTTTTTTTTTTTTTTTTTTACTGGCATGGGCTTGGGATGCACAGTTAAAATTATGTAATAGTTGTGATCATTATTTTACCTTCCATGATCATTCAGACACGATAAGGTGCAATATTGACACTCTGTCAAGTCTGCATCAAATCAAGCACTCCATAATCACAGGTAAACTGTCTGATCAGTCAGGTATTTGCCATGAGAAGTGTTCCACAAAACAGCTATGGTTTGAGTTGATGTGACAAATACATCTTTTGAATATACTGTGTGAACTCATTGCCCCGTTAGCTCGGAGAGCTTTATTTTCCCTCCTCAATAAGTTTTGTCAGTTGTTTTGTTTATTGGTCTAATTCTTGTTTCTTGGGTTGCATTGGTTAGTCACTAAATTAATTCTCTTGTGCTTCGTTCCCCCCTTCTGAATTATGTTGCATTGATAAGGAGTTATCACAAAGTAAGTCTGTTTAGTTGTGCTATCT